ATGTATTAGATTCTAGCATTTTCCAAAAGTATTTAGGATATAGGAGTTGTTTAAGCATTCAGTTTCTTAAATCCCTAGCAACTGGATTCAATAATAAATTCATTTCAGTTTGGCTCTTGTAAAGAAGTGTAATTTAATCATTCATCTCTCATACAATCAGTCTTACTAAATATAGAATTTCAGTTCATGGTAGAGTTTGTGTGTGTGTGTTAATGGAATGGAGAGTCTTTTGAAATGGCTTTCATTGACAAAGATGTCTTTGTTCTTAAACCTACAGATTTAATGTAATATGATGATCCTCCTTAATTTGCTTTTTTTCTTAAAATATTGACTCAGTTGCATATAATTTGGTAAAACTAACAAAATATGAATAAAAATTAATATTAGTTATTATTATTATGTGCTGTCAAGTTGTCTGCAACATATAGCTAACCTCTGTACAACAGTTCTGAAGCCTGCCCTGTCCTGAGCCAGTCTCACTGACTCTGATACACCTACCCCATTGCCCAAGTCACTGTATCAATCCATCTTATCTGAGGTCTTCCTCTCCTGCACTGTCTCTCCACTCTTCTGAGCATGATGTCCTTCTCCAAGGATTTGTCCCTCTTGGCAACCTGCCCCAAAGTATGTGAGACGGAACTTCAAAATCCTAGCTTCCAAGTACAAACTTGGTTTCACCCTCTCCAAGACAGACCTATTTGTTTTCTTGGTGGTTGATGGTATTTTCAAGACTCTTCTCCAGCACCTCAACTCAAAGGCATCAATTCTTCTTCTGTCATCCTAAGTCATTATCCCACTCTTTGATGCATAGCAAGTAATTGTAGAGACCATGGTCTGGATCAGGCACACCTTAGTCTCTTGACTGACATCGTTGCTTCTCAGCACTCTGGAAAGGCCCCTGACAGCAGATTTACCTAATGCAATTTGCCTTTTTATTTCCTGACTGCTGGTGCCAAAAGTGTGATTGAGGAGCCCAGCAAACTGTTAACAACCTCAATCTCTTCTTCACCCATCATGGTGCTGTCACATGGTCCAGTGGTGACAGTCTTTGTCTTGTTGATGCTGAACTTCAATCCATACTTAAGACTACAGTTCTTGACCTTCTGCAGCAAGCACTTCAGATCCTCCTCAGTTTCAGCAAGCAAGGTTGTGTCATCTGCATAGTGTAGGTTGTTGATAAGTCTTCCGTTAATCTGATGCCACATTCCTTGTCATAAAGTTCGGCCTCCCTACTGATCTGTTGTTTGTATAGACTGAAAAGATATGGAGACAAGACACATCCCTGACACATTCCCTGATTTTGTATCATGTGGTATTTCCCTGCTCTGTTCTAAAGACTGCTTCCTGGTTAGCTTTCTTATTAAAGAAAATGTCAATTGTATTTATTAATTTATTTTCTTATTAAGAGCATAATATTGTAGATAGCAACAATGAACTTTATTTTATTATCTCTTTTTGTCTCAATAGAGTTAAACTTGAGGAAAGATAGGACATTATTTAACACATAATCATGAAAAAGGTTTTGCTGAGACCAAGGGTTTCCACATTTCTGATGGAGACAGTTTGACCTGAGATAAACTTAGTACACTGGTTCATCTCAGAACAAGAATTTAAAAGCTTCTTATGTGTGTTTGTTTTCTGGATTGAAGTGGGTCCCCCTAGACATATGCTGATGGATGTTCTAACTCCTGTACTTGTGAATAAAGTCTTGTTTGGAAATAAGGTTTTCCTTTTGTTTTCAGTAAAGTTAATGAGATCATATCAGAGTGAGACAGACTATAAGCCGTAATTCCTTCCAAATGGTGTCTAAGAAAAGGGAAACACAGACACAGAGTGAGAGGCAAACACAGAAGGAAGATCTCATGTGCGGGTTCACCTATTAGAAAAAGAACACTAGAATGTCTGAGGCCACTAGAATTTGGACGATACAAGGAAAGATTTTCCCCTAGAACTGACCAGTTCTGTCTAACTCCCAAATTGAGATGAGACGTCTAATCTCCAGAGCACCTACCATCACCATCACCACCAATTTCCAAAGCTGTGAAGAAATATATTTTTGTTCTTAAAAGCCACTTAATTTAAGGTATTTTATTTTGGCTACTCTAGGAAATGAAGAGAACTAAGAACTAAACACAGGCACAGAAATCTTATTGTCTGCTCACTTCCCAAAACTATAGAATTAAATATGGAAGCACAGGCTTCTGGCCTGAGGAGTAGTAGTTAAGACGTTACTTCAGAAATCTTTGCCGACACTGCTAACTTGACAGCAATCTTTTAAGTCTGAGGCATTCCTCTTGTCATGTATGCTTTATAGATTACTCTGAAGACTATTTCTATCTCATTGTTCTTCTGTATTATGCTTCTTATATTGTCAAAAGGGAGCTCTGGTGTCACAGTCCATAGGGAGTTGTGGTGCTAACACAAAAGTGGCACCTCTGTGGTGGTTTGAAGCCAGCAGGTGCTCCTCCAGAGAAAGAAGGACAGATTCCCCCCATGTGACTTACAGCCTCAGAAACCTGCTCGAAGGTCAGCTCTGAGTCAGTTCTGACTTGATGGAAATGAGTGAGTATGATATTGTCAAAGTTTCTTTAATTTTATGAAAATATTAGAAGATGTAAAAAGAATCTGTTTGAAAAAAATAAAATTCCATTCTTTAAGTACTACCAGGCAATTGATCATAGCAATAGCAGGAGCCTGTGGAAACGTTGGGTAGCATTCTGAGAATGCACGGCAAGCTGACTTCATTTAGGTAAATTTGCTTTTTATAGCCTCTGTTATAGCATGCTTTATTTGCATATCAGAAAACTTATGATGCTTTGAGAAATTTCCTTTGTATTTGTTTTTGAAAAGGAAGTTTCTTAGCTTCAACGACAGCTGTTGACATTGTCAATACCACAGATATTTTTCTAAGGATGAATTTAGAATCCCTTGGCAATTAGCTAGCTGAATAAGCAAATACCTGTTGACCTGAAGGACAATTCTCATGGCTATTAGCATTCAGTGCATATCAGGGAGAGCTTTTACAGAACTGGTAATAAAAAAAATTGTATATGACTCAGAACACACAATGGCAGAGTAATGATGTGAGGGGAGAATCTGCTAAACATTCCTGTCACAAGAAATCAAGATATTTCTCAAAACAATTATGAGATATCATCTCACCCCAGTCAGAATAGCAAAATTTAACAGAGCAGCAAACAACAAATGCTGGTGAGGTTGTGGAGAAACTGGAACCCTTATTCAATGTTGGTGGGAGTGTAAAATGGTGCAACCACTGTGGAAAGCAGTGTGGCGCTTTATCAAAAAGTTACAAATAGAGATACCATTTGACCCAGCAATTCCACTACTGGGAATATACCCCAAAGAGATCATAACCACCACCCAAGTAGATATATGCACACCCATGTTTATCGTGGCTTTGTTCCCAATAGCAAGGAGTTGGAAACAATCCAAGTGCCCATCAACAAATGAATGGATAGAGAAGCTGTGGTATATTCACACAATGGAGTACTACGCTGCATTGAAAAACCAGGAACTCATGCAATATTATTCAAAATGGGTGACCCTGGAGGACATTATACTGAGTGAAATATCTCAGTCACAAAAGGACAAATACTGCACGGTGCCACTGTTGTAAAACAGGACTGACCTTAGGGTTGGGGGGAGACTGAGAAGGATGGGTTCAATAATGTATACTACATTAAAACAGATGAGGGAGAAAACTGTTTAAAAGGGATATGTGATTAGGTATTTTTGTCATGATAGGAGTCCAGAGCAAAGGCTGCATAGTAGAGTGGACCTCTGGGGGGAGGTGAAAGAATTTTTATTTTAATTTTCAAAGAGAAGGGTGTGCTTGGGGCAGGAGAGGTGGGCAGGGAGAAAAGTGTAACAATGAATGAATGGAAATCCAAAGTCTCTGTAAATTTTCATTAAAATTAATAATAAAAATATAAAGAAAAAACTCCCCAAAACCAACAAAACAAAACAAAAGAAATTAAGATATTTCTTGATGATCATGAAAATGAACATGTGTTTGGCACTTTGGTGTGAGAACAGAACCTCTCCTAGAACCACAGGATCTCTTGAACATGTCACTGGGTACTTTTTTCCAGAATCAATGATGATTTCATCTGGATTACTCTTGGCCTCTACTTTCATAATAGATATCCTTCAGTTATTTGAACTGTATAGTTGTGCTGTCAGAGATCATGTCTGAGAAAAGATGTTTTATAATACTTTGGGCCCAACTGTAGAGAATTATTGCAGTGCTGTGGACGACTTGATAGGGCTTTCTAGTCATAGTCTGGATAACTCCTACCAGATAACTGGGTCACTCTCGCAGTCATGGCTATGGGTCAGTTCCTACTTAAAGACAATCCATCAGGTTTTGAGGCTATCAATTTTAATGGCAGGGACCACTTATCTTTCTCCCACGGAGATGCTGGTCAAGGCAAACTGTCTGAGATGTGTAGCCTTTGTGTGAGTAGTGTGATTTGTACCACCAGTGTTCTTCTAACTCTAGGCAGTACTGTTACCGTCCACTTGATGCCCTGGTTTTGGTCTTATTCATGCAACTAAAGAATTAAGCCAAATGTGAGAGACAAGAGGGAGTGGTACCCAAGCTACAAAAGTAGCACAGTATACAGCAACTTTAGTGACTCTTAAAAGAGTTGTTTTAATGTACAGCAAGTGTGGAGCCTTTAAAAGAACTATTGTTTGTCTTGCTCAAAATGGTCTCAATGTGGGCTGAATATGCTAACATGAAATATCATCAGTTTTGCCACCAGGCAGGCCTAAAAGAAGCCGTCAAAGAATGGGAAAGGGAGGACCCTTGCTGTCTTCTACACTGAGCTGAGAGCACTGTGTGCCCCATGCATTCAGAGTCCCTGCATTGAACACTTCCTTCAATCAGGAGACAGAGAATTTTAACACTTTAACAGTAACACCTTGGTGGCAGACAAACAGGCAGAAGAGGAAGCATAGGCAGAAAAAACCCCAAGAGACCAGTATAATACAGAGCTGTGGGCTCCCAGTCCACGGGGGTGAGAAGGCTGAGGGCCTTCGGGGCAGGAGACATATGGGCAGAGTGGGCACCTTGGGACATTTGTCAGGGAGCTGAATTTGCTGACCTGTAGTTGCTAACGCTGAGTTCTTTCCAGCCTTGCTTTCCGGAGCAAGATGCTTTCAGAGGACTCTTAAAATGGCAGAGCTAAAAGAGTTTTGTAAGACTTGTACATGCAATGCAGAGGCCACAAGAATGAGGGCCCAGGGAGTCCTGCCTCTGGCACAGCTGAAAAGAGGCAGTACTGACAGAATTGTATCCTGAGCATTCTTCATTCTGAATTGTAACTTTCCTAATAAACCCCATAATTATAATAGGTGAGTTCTGTGTGGCCATTGCAACAGATTATCAAACTCATAGGTAGAAGTAGAGTGTGTTGTGGGAGGGATGGTTAGTGTCAGTTTTGGTGGAAGGATTTGGAGTGTGGGAGGGACAGTGTGGATGATGTCATAGGAATTGGCCTTGGGCTGCTTTTGCTACTTTGATGAGAATTCCTTCCTTTATGAAGTTAGAGGAGGTCGCGTGCTGCAGCCCACAAACCCACTTCATTTTTACAGTTACATTCTCACAGACTATTAGAGTTGGGATGAATTTTATCAGAAGAAATGGAGAATCAAAAGGAGAATGTACTTTCTTAAAAGTACACGGCTGTTACACTGATGAGATTTATAGCATAATGAACAACTAAGTGTCTCAAGAACTAACAATCATTAGTTCTCAATTTCTCACATAGCTGTGCTTCAGGTTGTCCTATTAAATCTTTGGAGTGAGGCTAGTCTTTGCATTTGTCTGCTTGTTTGTAGGTATTATAGGGGGTTCTTAAGGGAGCTCTGCCAGTTGCACAGCTAACTCAAAGGCAGCTCCTCTCTGACAGTTTGAATCCACCAGGGGCCCTGCAGGAGAAAGATGGTCTTTCTCCTCCTATGTGATTTACACAGTGAGTTCTAGTTTTGATTGCTGGATTTGAAAGATACCTGGTGGCATATAGAACATGACACATTGGGCTGCTTACCAAAAGGCCAAGCTCAAATCCACAGGCTACTCCTTGTGAGAAAGATGAGGTTGTTTCCTCCTGTAAAGATTGACAGTCTCAGGAACCCAGTGGAGGGTTGATGCAAGTTGAAATTTCCTTTACAGAAATGAGTGGGTAGACGTTTCTGAAGGACAATGAAGTTTGAAAAGTGCTGGTTTTTCACTGAGTGATGAGAAAGTAGAAACTAAGGCAATGAGGAGGAGAGAAAAGCCTTAATTTGGAAAGCTAGAAAGTAGATTGATGACCATTCTTGGTGGCTCACTGTATATGAGTAGTGGGGGAGTGGGAGGGCTCTGACTTGAGCAATTTCAACACTGTTCAGTTGTGCCAATCACTAACACAAGGCCACATCAGTAGGAGAACTACTGGAGAGGAAATAGAATGCTTGTTCAGATTTAGATGGAGGACTGACTGACTGTGGAGAAATATTAATTTTTATCACAGAAATATAGTATTAACTTTAAGAGTATTATTTTATAAGTGTTTTTAAAAATAATGGAATTTTTTGTTACATAATGCTTATTCTTTTCAAAGAACTTTTAGTTACACACCCTACTTATGTTTCTTTGGTTCTAAAACTGCTGCACGTTTGATACATATGGAAAAGACTTCCCTCTGCCCCAGACTAACTTTCATCACTTTAGATGCTGAAACTGAGGCTCAGAGAGGTTGATTGATTTCCTTAAGGTGATCTAGTCAGGAACCAGGTAGAGCTAGGATTTAAAACTTTGCCTTTGCCAAATCTAGTGCTCTTTTTATTGTTATAGAACTATTTCAACATTACATGGATAGGCATTTTCCCCTCCATATTATCTGATGAAATGGGAGTTTCGAGAAACTGGTTTACTCAAGGCCTCAAACTGAAAAGTATCAGTGTATATACTGGAAGTCTGATGTCTGCTTCCTGGACATTATGCCTGCAGTTCATTTCTCTGTTTGTTTTATGCATAGTTAAGCATTTCCATGCTCAAACAGAAAGAATTTTTTAAAAAAAGGGTTACAAACACCTTTCGAAGAGAAGAGAAAACCAAGGCCAGCTCTGAAAGCTTAGTTGTTGTGGGAGTGTGTGTGAGAATGCATATCCAGGCTGTAAATGACTTGAATTTTTTTTTTTTAATTAGGAACTCATCTGTGATGACAGAAATATGGAAATAACTCCTGGTGAGAAAGTGCTTCAGAACATCAAAGAACAACGGGACCAACAAAATAGGCTAAAAGCAATAGATGAAAAACTGAGAAAGATGAAGGAAAGTGTGGTAAGTGGTTTACTTAAAGCTGAGTTGTAACCAATGGCTGTGTTGAAAAAGATTCCAGTTTTCTTTGACTTTTTAAATAATGTGTTTAATCATTCAAGAAAATTGTCATAGGAATTTTTCAGTCAGTATTTTAATAAAAGCTACAACTATGATTCACAGGGCTTAAGCTGTTGTTCTTACTTCATATAACATAATAAACATGAAATACTGCCCGAGTAATGATGTATAAGTTCAATATGCTTCATCTGGTAGTGACATAAATTATGTTCTTTGTGGAAAATTTGGGAACTGTTCTCTATAAATTGTCTTTATATGTAGAACTTAAAGTTTAAATACTCTAATTTTTCTTTCATAATGAATACAGTTTTTCATTGATTAGCCTGAATTGCAACCTAAATCCTTCCTGAGTCTATTTTATGTTTGAGGGTTTTTTTTCTCTTTTTGCTCATTACTTAAAGACTTCATGTCATTGATGAGCAAAAGCCCCGGAATCAACTAAATTGTAAGTTGGTTGATATCCTGAATTAGAAATGCTTCTAGTATTTTATTATATCAACAACATTGTAGAATATGATTTTTACCTATTCAAAGAACGTTTCCAGCTGTGTATTAGACTGTTACCTAAAATTAAACATGACAATTAAAATGAAACATTAGATTTAAAACATTCTCTCTCCCAGCATATCCACTTTCTCTCTACCCTAATTCTCCTCTCTAGAGTGGTCTAAGACTTAATTATGTTTTAACCACTAAGTCCAATTTGTTACCATAACTTGTCACAGTTTTCTATGATTCTTAAAAAAATCTCCTGGGTATTTCCACCCCCCCTTCTTTAATCACCCCTCTCTGAACTTTGTCACTTGTGCCTTGGCACTTACGTTGTTGTTATGTACTATTGAGTCAGAACCAACCCATAGGTGACTCTCCAGCAGGTTTTCAGAGGCAATTGTACTGGAAGAGACTGCCCATCTTTTTCCTATGGAGTAACTAGTGGATTCGAACCATGTGCCTTCTGGTTGGCACGACATCTCCTTACTGCTAGACCACCACAGCTCAGTCATTTATAACCTAGTCTTTTTGAGATTTTTGGGCTCCCAGTCACCCTTTTGTCTCATTGTTGTTGTTATTGTTGTTATGTGCCGTCAAGTCACTAGCTACTCATAGTGACCCTATACAACAGTCCTAAACCCTGCTCTGTCCTGTGCCAAACGCACTGTCCCCGATACACCCATCCCAATTACCCCAGTCACTGAATCAATCCACTTCATAGAGGGCCTTTCCCTCCTGTGCTGTCCCTTTACCCTCCCAAGCAAGATGTCCTTCTCCAAGGATCCAAGGACCGGTGCCTCCTTACAACATGTCCAAAGTACATTAGACAGAGGCTCAGAATCCTTGCCTCCAAGGAGCCACCCAGTTTAACCCTTTCCAGGATGAATCTGTTTGTTTTCTTGGCAGTCCATGGTACATTCAGTACTCTTCTCCAGCACCACAGCTCAAAGACATCAATTCTCCTTCTATCCATTTATTTATCATTTATTCCATTTAACATGTTGCCCCATGGAGATAAGTGCCAGACAAGTGATTTGTATTAAATCCTGATTACCTCATAATCCCTCTCGAATGTCCACCAATTTTGAACAATCCTGAGAGTCTTCGCTCCTCACAATCACACCCAGCTGAACTGCTCCTACCCTCTGCAAGCTCTGACAGCATCACTGACAGGGAACCCACTGGCTATCTAAGGCTACCTAGCGAAAAAAAAAAAAAAAAAAGGAATGCAATGCATTGTGCTTTTATTTAAAATTCCTTTTTCTTAGTTTTTCATGGGATATTTTATGGGAATTAAATTTTAGGGAGATATGTTTCTATTTTTTGTGGAATTACTCACTCATTTGAGTCTGTTAATTTGGAGGGGAAAAAATTAAATGGGAGAATAGTTAAGTGCCTGATACAGGCCATGGTCTTTTCAATTACTTGCTATGTAATGGAAAGTTGGACAATGGCTGGGGATGATAGAAGGAGAATTGATGCCTTTCAGCTGTGGTACTAGAGAAGAGTATTGATTATACTGTGGACTGCTAGGAGAACAAACAGGTTTATCCTGGAGAGGGTGAAGCTGTGCTGCAGCTGTGTCTGATTTACTTTGGACATGTTGCAAGGTAGGATTAGTCCTTGGAGAGGGACATCATGCTTGGGAGGGTGGAGGGACAGTGCAGGAGAAGAAGACCATCGATGAGATGGATTGACTCAGGGACTGGGGTAATGGGGGGGGGGTAGGTGTATCAGAGACAGTGAGATTGGCACAGGATAGAGCAGCGCTTAGGACTGTTATACATAGGGTCCTATGAGTCGCAGGTGACAACAATAATAACAAAGAGACTTTGCATCAGCAATTGTGTTGGTGATGCTAGAGAATTGCAGATTTGATGTCCTAAAGAAGAAGATTGACTGGTTTTGAAAACTCTTAGTTGTTTTTGTTGGTCCACAGCTGCCAATCCTTTGCTTCCACAATTCAGTTCCCCTGATTTCTGACATGTATCCATTCTTTTCTCTAGAACTTCTACTGTCTTTTCATTTTCTGCTCAAACCATTGGCCTTTAACAAATCCTAAATATAATTTCAGCACATATCATGGAAATAGATGTGTTGAGAGTTGACTTGTATCTTAATGGAAAATAATATTTTATAAGTGGGAAAACAACTTTTAAGCATCTTCTTTTTTATTATTATTTTTTTAAATTTTTCCAATTTTTGTATTGGGAACCAGAAGTTAGGGCAAAATAGCTGCTGCTGAAAACTGTTTTCTCAGTACAAATGCAAATGCTCCCCTTTTAATAAATGTGTTTGGTCATAAAACATGGCCACTTAC